TTCTAATTGTTTTAACTGTGTTAATTTATATATCCTTTTTCTAGTTAGGATTATAGTTATCTTTAGTAATAATATTAAGATCCTTGCTTATTTATTGTCGTTTTTGTTATTATTAGAGTTTTCGGTACTATTAGTACTTGTTGGTGTCAATCTCGTTAATGTAGTATTTATAGAAGCGTTTGATATCCTTTTTGTAGGTATTGCCTTTGTCGTAGGTCTTAAAGTTGAATCCGTTATAGTATAACTGGTGTTAGAGTTGGATATACTTTTCTTTTTCTCTATAATACTTTTTGTAATATTTATCTTTATATTATAGCGGGTTGGTTTTAGGATAGGCTTCCTTTTATATATACTACTCTTTAACCTTATGGTTAAGGTGTTATCTATATCCTTGGTTAGGGTACTAATCTAGGTTAACTTCTATGTAAATTTTATTATATAAGTTTCTATATTAGATCCAAAGGTGCTAATTATAAATCTTTTATTCCTAGTGTTTTTTATATAGTATTTTATAGTATTATTTTACTATTAGATACCTATAGTCTTCTGTAAATAGGGTATTATATATAAGCTATATTTCTTCCTATTTAAGGAACTAATCTCTGGTTATAATAGGGTAGTAGGGGTTTGCATTAGTGCGTTCCGCTAACCTGTTGTTATTTAGCGCTTATCGCTAGGTAATTCCGTGTTGTTAAAGTATTTATTAGAATTTGCTTAAGTTATGTATTTCTATCTCTTCTGAGTTGTAGTTAAAGGGTTCTTATCCGCAGGGGTAGTTTAGTCCCTGGGGTTCTTGTAATCTATAGTTTGTGTATAGTTTTAAGATATTAAGGTCAGTGTATCCTTGATTCTTCTTATGCTTTTCTTCCTATCTGCGAATAAAGGTATTTTCTTATTCCTTCTCTTCTTTTGTAAGTGAAATATTAAGGGCTTTGGATTATACCCTGTTGGTTTTATATTCTTCCTGAGTTATAGGGGTAGGCTAGTTACTGTTAACCTTGTCTTTAGCTTCTTCGGAAGTTATAGTATTAACTGTAATTTATCTTGGCTGCTTTCTTTTAGGTGCCTTAGGGTACTACTTTATTATTTCCTTTTCTTCCTTATGTATAAGATATTAATTATTATAGTAGCTGGTCTAACTGAGTAAGTTATAAGGTATAGTTTTAATAATATTAATCTAAACCTTATTAAACTTTTTATTCTTATAGGTGGATTTTCTAAAATTATTAGGTTTCCCGTGTTTACTTCAGTAGTCTTTTTCCTTATGGCCTGTTTTACTACAGTAGTTGTATTTACCTGTGAACTTACGGGTGTTAATAGTATTTAGATCTATTGGTCCTGGTTTCCTATTATTTAATAAAGCTAAGTTGCGTTTCTTACTTTAGTTAGTATAATATTAGAGGCGGCGGTGTGCTTTATTGTTTCCTCCTTTTTTAGCTTGCTTTTTTTTCTATTATTTAAATTATTAATTATTAATATAACTAGCCTTTTTAAAGAATGTTTTAAATATAGCCGGAAGATTGTCTTATGCTAGTTTATCTTTTACTTTTGATTTTAGTCCTTAATAATATAACATTTTCTTAGCTATATCTTTAAGGTCTGTTTTAGCGTAGATTTGAATGAACTTGGTAGTGTATTTAGTGTATGCACCTTATTGTTAGAGTTTTAGTAGTGCGTTTTCTACTTCCTTCTTTTTATTAATCTGGCTAAATAGCGCCTTAAGTTAGTCTTTGAATTCTTTATATCTATCGAAGAGTACGTTAGTAGTGGCCTTTCTTTTAGCTTGGTTATATTACTTAAAGTCTCGGAGGTATAGTTTAAACTAATTCTTAGGTCCTTTAATAAGTTAGCTTTCTGTAACGCTGACTTATTATTCCGGCGGGGCTATAGTAGTTGGAAAGTGCCTGAAATAGGACCTTATGTCCGTAAGGAATCCCTTGATTTTTCGTAAGTCCTTATTAAATAGTATTAGCAGAGGTAGCTTAATGATTTTACCTAGTTCCTTCTTACGGGGACCTCCCTGCTGGCTTTAAGCTATAGGTAGTTGCCTTTGTTATTATTATTAAGCGTTAAGTTATCTATTAAGTGTATTAATAGTGTTTTGTTGGTCCCTAATAGTTTGTTTTATATAGGTAACTAAGGCTTTAAGGTCTAGGAAGCGCTATTATGCTTTAGTATTATTAGCCGGTGGTTGAGGGGTTATAATTCTTTTTATATTAGGATTTATTATTTTAGTAGTTTCTTTAAATAAGTCCGAAATTTTAATGTTGCTTCTGTATGTACTCTGGACTTCGCTTTCTTAATTTATTCCTACGTCTAGTATATAGAATTTAATTATTTAGTATCTTTGTAATAATATTACCCGTGGTCTAAGGTAACCTCTGAATAAGAGTTGTAAACGTGTAATAAGCTGAGCTCCTATAGTGTTAGTATAAGAGGAATTCCTAAGGGATAAACCTTATGCTAGGTTTATGTTAGTAAATAGGCCAGGCTGGACTGGTAGGTAATTAACAAAGATAAAAGGGGTTTGTTTATATAACTAGTAGATAATACCTTATAGGTATAATTAAGCGTTATTCTGTATTTACAACTGGCTATTTAAACTATTTTAATGAGTATTATGAAGTGAACTTATATATCTAGTTGGTTCTGGGCTTGTATAGCTCGTAAGACGAGCATAAAGAGTATAAGCTCGCTGAGCTTGTTGAACGAGTGAGACAAGCGGGGCCTGATTGGCTACTCGGATTATAGTTAATCCGGTCGCACCTGGTCGGTTGGCCTATTGTCGCGACTATAAGTGTTGGGTCGTGATAAATAGCTCCCTAGCTTATATTACCTTATTTATTCTATAAACTATTTAAGTAGGTAAGGAAGGTAGACCTAGGGAGACCGTTAAGTAATTCTAAGTGTTTTTCTACTACCTTTAACTTTAGTAAACCTTTAAAGTCTAGGCCTGCTTAAACTATTTTATTATTTTTAGTAAAAAGGGAAGGTTAGATTATTTTCCTTACTAAGGCTATAGTACATTATAGTTAGGTAGGGGGAACCCTAGGGGGGAGTTTTTTATTAATATATCTGCTAATTAAGTGGTTCTTATTTAGACCTGTAAAGTAAGCTGTTGTACGGAGTCTGGTTTATACTACCTATACTAATGCTAAGGGGACTCTTAACTTTCTATATATAACAGAGAGGTTAGTTATCTTTTATATAGGAATAACTGCTTTAGCTACTGCTTTAAATAAGGGTTCTAAGATTATAGTTAATTTCGTTAAACCTGTTTTTATTTATTTATTTAGGTTTATTACGCTTTATTTACTTTTGCTAGGCTAAAAGGCCTCTGTCCTATATAGGGCTATAGAGGTAATATAGGCCTTAGTTACTATAGCTACTATATCTAGCGGGGATTTTTTTTATATTTTATTTAAAGATTTTAGGAAGTTAGCTGTTTTAAGGGCTTTTCCTTTTATAATCCTAAGGTGTTTTTTAAAGAAAAGCTGTAAGTTTAGGTATATCCTTAGCTAGTAGACTAAGTCCTAGGGGGCTATAGTTTTCCTTTTAAAGTTTACTTCTTTATTATACGTTTAGGTTCTAGTCCTATAGAAATATATAAGTTCGGTCTTATTTAAATTAAAGGAGACTGCGTTTTTATTTCCTTAGTTTAGGGTATTTTCTAATTCCTACTAAAGTTTTTAAGTAGTTTCTTTAGTATTAACCTCTACTACTATAATACTAATATTATTTATATACCTAAAGTAGGTATTTAAGTTATTAAGCTTTAGGCTAGGGGAGAAGTAGAGTATAAAGATAATAGGGGAGATAGGGGACCTTTATAGGGCTCCGTATTTTAGCTTTATCTCCAAGAGGGTAGTCCTATAGCTATTTTAAATAAAAGCCTTGCAGTTACTTATAAAAAAGTTAACCTATTTTATAAAGAGGGGGGGCTACCTTTATTCCCTAAGTTTATATACTAGGTAGTTATATATAATAATATTAAATATATTGGAGATATTAAGTATAAGGAGAAAGATAATAAGGCCTTAGGCTAGGGTAACTTTAGCGTTATATAATAGGTAGGTAATTAAATTTATTATAAACCTTTTTAAAAAAGCCCTAAAATATTATTTTAATAGTATTTTATATTTTATTACTAAAAGGGAGACTTTTCTAACTAAGAGTTTCTTAAGGCCTTTACCTATATAGAAGAGTAAGGAAATAGGTTTATAACCTTTATATATAATATATACCTTCTTTAGCTTCCTAGGTTTAGGAATAATAGTAATTTCTATACTTTAGAAGGGGAGTAGGTAGTATTTTATTATTAAGTATTTATAAAAAAAATTAATTATATACTTACTAATAGTAGGCTAAGTAAGCTATAAAAAGGTAATTAATATATTATTTACGCTAGGTATAGTATTTTCTAATTTTATTATAGCTTTTTTAGCCTTTAACTCTAATATTATTTAATCTTAGTAAATGTTTTTATTAATAGAAAAGTCCTTTTCCTATAGGTTTAAAATATTTTCCTTTATTATCTTATGCTTAAGAAGTTTATTTTTAAGGAAAGTTACTTTTTTTATAAAGTTTAAAATACTTTTATCCCCGTTTATTAGGGGGGGCAGTTAAAAGTAGTTTATTACCTTACGCTATTTAGCTACTAACTAAATATTCCTAGTAGCACTAGCCTCTGCTATAATCTTATTTTAGTAAGCTTACTTACTATAGTATATAGTATCTCTAAGGGTTTTATAGGCTTTTTTATAAGTAGGGGAGCTGTCTGCTGTTTTTTTATAAGCTTTATAGGCTGCTTTATATTTCTCTAATTACTATAGTACGCTATAGCCATTTTAGTACCTGGTTTTACTAGCCGCCTTTATAACTTATTTAAAAAGGTTCTATAGGGCCTTAGCGTACTTATCTAAGTTAGTTTCTAATAGTATAGTTAAATTAACTATAAGGAGGGTCTAAGTAAAGGAGTATATAAGTTAGCTAAAGTCTTCTTAGTATTCTATTAAAATATATTTTTTCCTTACCCCTAGGGTTATCCTTAAGGGCTTAGGCAGGTTTATAATTACTATATAGTAATTTAATCTTATATTAAAGGAATATTTAACTTTAGTTAACGTAGGGTAATTTATAAAAACTAGGTTTATATATTTTCCTAAGTATTAAGTAGGTGTATTTATTAAAGCTAGGAGGAGATTATACTTCTTTACTTATTTTATAATTTTATTACTCGTTAGGTTTATACTTCTGCTTAAGTCCTAAAGTTAGTATAAGGTATTAAAGTTACCTATAATAATTAAGCGGGGGGGGGAGGACCTTATTTAGTAAAGGTTTCTATAGCTAAGTTTACTAAAGCCCTTTAGTAAATATTAATAATAGTATAATTATATACTTTTATTTAATATATATATTTATCCTCTAGGCCTAAGGGAAAAAGTTATTTACTAAAGAGGTTTAAAAAGATTTTAATAAATATAAAAACTAAGGGTTTAGTATTTCTTTAACTATTTAAGAGGTTATATACTTAATATTTAAGGTAATTTTTAGTTTACTTTTTATTTAATACCCTGTTTTATTAAGCGTAGGGTTCTTAAATTAGTATAATATTATAGCTACCTTCCTATATTAGCAATAAGGTAATATCTTAGTGTAAACCGCTCCTTCTAATATTAGTTTAAAAGATTTTAAAGCTAGTATTTCTTTAGTAGTTATAATAAGGCTTATTATTTATAAGCTTACGTTAAAAAGTCTATTAGTTCTAAGGGGGGCGTTAAATATATTTTTATTATCTTTAGCTTTTTCCTTTTTATTATTTAAGCTAGCTATATATATTACTAACCTAGCGGGGGAGATTCCCTTATAAAGATCTTCCTTATCTAAGTTAACTTTAATAATAACTTTTTTAGCTAAAGCTTAAGGGGGGAAGAGTAAAGCTAAGTTAGAGATTAATAGCCTTATATAGGGGCCTGTTTAAGTCTTTAAGTTAGATGTTTTCTTAGTACTAGGGGTTAGGGTAGAGGTAGGTTTAAGTTTAAGTAGGTTAGCTTTATTATATTTTTACTAACCTAATTCCTAGATTACCTAGAGTTAGGCTTTAGTTATTTATACTTTTTCCCTATTTTTAATAACTAGTTTAGCAAGGTATTTTAGGGAATCTACTATATAAAGGCTATTATAGTTAGTATATTAAGGTAGGGATAAATAGTTAGCTATAGTATTATTATATTTAAAAAATAATTTACTATATTTATAATACCTTTTAGTCTTAGTATAATTCTATAGGTTATAAAATCTAAAGTACTATAGGCACTAGGTAACCTAAGGGGGCTAGACCTAGATTTCTACTAGGAGGAAGCTATTAAAAAGTTTAAAACTAGGTTTAATATCTTTATTAAAAAAGATAAAGTAGCTATATATATTAAAAGATTTTCTAAAGTTAGCTTTACAGTAGGAGATAAGTAGGCTTTTAGCCCCTGCCCTAGCGTATACCTCCTTTAGGATTAGTATATCTATAGGGTAGGTCCTGCTTATATTAATATACGTCTTTAATATACTATATATAAGAAAAACCTTTTATAAGTATACTTCTTTAATTTTTAAACTATTATTCTTTACTATTAGCTAAAGTATAATAATTTTATTTTTAATATTTTAATTCTTACCTCTAAAGGTAAAGCTTAATTAAACCTCTTAGAAGTAAATAATATCCTTATTTATAAACTTTAAGATCTTAATTAGTTTTTATTTAGCCTTAATAGCCGATAGCTTTTTTTATATATAGTCTAGGGGGACTTAGATAAAGATATAGTTATTAAGGCTTTCTTTAGGTTTATTAATTTTATTTATATTCTTTTTATTAATAATAAGGGCTAGCCCTTTACTATTTATAAAAAAATACTTTAGATTATTAATTCCCTTCTAAGGGTTTTTATTATAAGTGTTTTTTTATAATATAATTTATACCTATATAACCTTAGGGTCCTTCTAGCCTACTTTTCTAATAGATATAGGAGCTTCTGCTATAGTAGGGGTTTTAGTAGTATTTAATTTATTTTTTTTATTATAAAATATATTAGCTAATGTTATTTTAGTTAATTAAGCAGCTTTTTCTTTACTACTTAATTTCTTAAGGTCTTTAGGCCTCCCCTTAGGGTTAATATAGGAGGCGACGAAGTTTTTAAAAGTAGTATTTAAGTATAAGCAGACTTATTCTACTATTACTAAGGAAAGCTAGGAGGTATATTACGCTAAGCAGAAGTTAATAACTATAGCTATATTTAATATTATATTTTATCTAGCCCTTTATTATATATTAATTTTATTAATTTAATTTATAATTTTATTTTTAGTAAGGGATTTTCCTTTTTTATTTAGGTTAGTAGTTTTTTTTATATTATTAAAAATAAAGATAATAAGGCCTTTTAAGGCTATTTATACTACGGTTACTATTACCGCTACGCTTAGTCTTACTTTATTAAAACTAAGTAAAGGTATTTTATTTATACTAAGGGCTTCTTTAAAGCGTTTTTTTTTCTTAGGGGTAAAGGGGAGAACTATAACCTCTCCCGTTTTTAGGCCTAAGGGGGTTACCTTTTTTAGTAGTTAGAGGGCTGTTGCTAGTCCAGGGGCAACGGGTTTCATTCTATTTTAGTTATCTAGAGGGTTTGCAGATGTTTTTATCTCTCCAGGGTCCCTAGATAGGACCGTAAATAAAAAAATCGTAGTCGTTTTGTCTAATAGCTAGTTAAACGGGTGGGAGTTTTTGGTGGTTAGGCACCTAAAAGGTGGGGTACCTGTAGATGTAGGAGGGAAGCTTGTACTCTCTGCTAGGTAAGTAAGTAAGTAAAAGGTCCCTTCTCATGCTGTTCCCACAGTTGAGCCTCACGCAATCACTAGAGTTCTGAATAGTCAACTTTGGGGCTGAATAGCTACTCCGGCAGTCATGAGAAAATATTACTGCCTCAGTATCATCGGCATACATTGATGACTTGCTGAATATCTATTTCAAACATCACACCAGCGACTTCTCTAACCGCGTTACACTTCCTTGATGCTCTCGGTTACGGCTTTTTGCACTATCCTTGCAACACACGGTCAAATGCTTCAGTTGCAAATTGCTGGCGAAGGATTTAATCGTCTCATTCCACATTGCAAGTGTCTGCTTCTTAGGAAGGTGAAAACGATTTGAGCGTTAGACCTTGCTTGACGCCTGGTGGATGTCAATATTTACACCTCGGGTGCGTCTTCTGGATATTACCGAGATTCAAGAGATTTGTGCTGCTTATCGTGAAAGACTGAATATTCCCGCCAAGATTTATCCATTTGAAACCATCCACTCCAGAGGTCTCATTTGGGAAATCTGCATTTTCGGAAGGTCACCATCCGTCACCGGTTCGTTGCCCTTGATCGCTAGTCCGTTCTTGGGTGTATAGATCCAAACGTTTAAGGCGTCATAGGAAATGATCAATCGCAATCCGCGATGAACTAGCCTTGTCACGAAGCAGATGACCAAAAGCATGGGCGATAAAAGGGCCGAGATCAACTTTGAGTGCCGGCATATTCACATGCCCAGCGATGTAGACCTTCGCTAATAGCATCGCTTGTTTGGGATATCTCGCGGACGATCATAATATACTGCACAGGCTAAAACCATCAACCGTACTGCAGAACTCTTATAGCAGATTGGACTGTCATTAACTTGGCACGGTAGTTGAAGATATCCTCCAGTGATAACGGAGACTAGTATGGCCCAATTTAACAGCTAAACTGAGGCTATAAAAACCCGTATTAGCCAAATTTTTAAGCTTATATGATTAGCCGTGGTTAAATTGTTTGTAGGCAGATGCTACCTCCGCATGTCTTATAAGGTAACATTTTCTCCGCTTGTCATATAATACGGTATCTCCGCCTGTTACATAACGCGGTATTGACTCTGCCTAGTATACAACACCGTATTGCCTCTACCAGCCATACGATGTAGCATCACCTCCGCATGGTATACGAAATGACACATTCAAATTCTCCGTCACCGGTTAATTATCTATTTTTGTAACAGTATGAAACTTGTGTAGATCATAACTTAATTCCACCAATCGTGGGTTCTAGACTTCCTACGCAATATTCCCACAAGTATATAAGAAGTCGACGTTGCTAGTTATCAATCAGATAAGTCGTTTGCTCCCAACAAGCTTAAATCCAGAATCCAAACCCCATCAGCATGAAGTCTTCTGTTGTCGCAGCGCTTGGCTGCCTTGCCGGTAGTGCTCTTGGTCATGGACAGATCCAAAACTTCACCCTCAACGGCGCGTACAACCAGGGTTTTATCCGTATGTCTCCGTTCTCCTTGTAGCTTCCAACAAGCTTCATAAGACATGACTAAAGTCTACCCAAACAGTCGATTACTACTATCAGAAGGTCAACACTGGCCACTTCCCCAATGTCGCCGGCTGGTGGGTTACAAGTCTAAGATCTATACTTTTTTCCCGCGTGCGGGTTGCTTATACGGACACAATAGGTATGCCGAGGACTTAGACCTAGGCTTCATCTCCCCTGACGCATACACCACGCCCGACATCATCTGTCACAAGAACGCAGCGCCTGGTGCAGCAACTGCCACCGCCGCAGCTGGCTCCACCATTGTCTTTTCATGGGGCCCTGGCCCGTGGCCACACCCGTATGGTCCTATTCTCACATACGTGGCTCAGTGTAGCGGATCATGCACGACTGTGGACAAGACCTCGCTCCGCTGGGTCAAGATCCAGGAGTCGGGCATCAACTACAACACCCAAGTTTGGGCTCAACAGGATCTTATTAACCAAGGCAGCAAGTGGACCGTAAAGATCCCATCAAGCCTCAAGCCTGGGAACTACGTCTTCCGAAATGAGATTCTTGCGTATGTTGCTCCCTTCTTGTGTCGCTGATAGTATTAAACTAATTGAACCATTTCAGTGCCCATGGTGCCTCGAGCCAGAATGGCATGCAGAACTACCCGCAGTGCGTTAACATTGTCGTCACTGGATCGGGCACCAAGTCGCTTCCTGCCGGAACCCCAGCAACTTCACTGTACAAGCCCACTGATCCCGGCATCTTGTTCAACCCTTACACGACAATCACCAACTACACAATCCCTGGCCCAGCCCTGTGGCAAGGCTAGATTTGGGGAACGCAGAGTGCGTGCATGTAGCAAGATCTCTAGTGGGGATAGGGAGATGTGGGGTACGGAAGCATGCGGTGCTGGGCTGAGTGTATATACAGGTATCTTTAGTGATTGAACTGTGTAGAAGACTCAAACAATCCGAAGAATGAATATAAAACATTTTGCTTATAACATATTGCGTTGCAATGGAAATGCCTATTGAAACAAGTTCCTGCTTGGATACCTCTGTGAACGCAGTAACGACATTGTCCAATATTGTCTTGCTTGAGATTAGTAACCATGGGCAGGGCATGTGTAAAGTATCTATTTAAGAACGCACACAGATTTACTAAGCAATCAGGTTCAGTCTGCCACCAAAAGTGCACTTATGGACAATCAAGACTAGGGCAAGTCTGATTATCAACACAAAGGGCGCTTATGTCCTGTATGTTCTCCAATAAGGTCAACTTGTGGCCGCTTCTAATTACACTACGGATCAACTTTTAGCGGCGCTTAGAGACCACCCATGTCCGATTGTGGGGCCGAATCCCCACTCCGGCGCACTCGGTGTCAGGACCAACAACGGCCACTTCCGGACATCTTCACTCCGGAAGCCGGAAAACGTCAACTTCTGGACATTGCCAACTTCTGCACGTGAGAAATTTTCTAGCAGGTGCGGGGAAAGGGGTTGAGGGAATATTTAACACGCAACCATGCTGCCTGAAGCCATCCCCCCAACTCTTCCCAAACATCATCACCACTGCACTCCCGTCTCTAACATTTGGTCCTTTTTTTTTTTTTTTGGCTCATCTTTGCTAAATCTCTTGATCGTTGAAGAGTATTACCCACCACCACAACAAACACAATCACGCAACCACAAAATTGCACATTACACACCTAGTCATCATGTTCTCAGACCTTTTTGCGCAATTGGCAAGCGCCAACAACCTTCGTATTACGCTGCAGAGTATTCTCACTACACTTTTCGCGGTGTTCCTCGCTCTCAATCTACCGCAACAGTTCCACCCTATCTTCATGGAGATGTTCTCAGACCTTTTTGAACAATTGGAGGCCTTCAACCGCCTGTGGGTCGAGCTTCAAAATACTGTGGCTTACGCTACATATTGTGTAACTTGCGTCGCTCCCATGGCGCCAAAGCACATGCAAAGATCCATGATGAGCATGGCCTCAAACCTTGCTACGCCATTGGGCCGTCTCACCCGCCTCAGCCTCAATATTCGCGATAGTTTCGGTACTTTTCTTATACCCAGCCTCGCTACCCAGCTGCTCTATGTACTCCAGCACACGCGGAAATTCCGTCTTCCATGAGCCACCTTCCCATTCACCCATGGAGTCAAAGCTTCCCTGGGCGGCGAAGAGCGGGAAGCTGAGGATGATGTCTGCCGCTGTGAGATGGTCGCAGCAGATGTAGCGACCGCCGGAGGTGCGGAGCTGTTGATCGAGGAACTTGATGTGCCTGTAGATGTTGGGGAAGATGTAGCTTGCGAAGATGCGGTTGGCGACGGCAGTGGTGACTGGGCGGAGGAAGAATGGGATCGGTGGTTGCTTGAGCTCTATAAAGCGATGCATGTGTGTTAGCGTCGAGTTATTGAACGAAATGATTCATTTTCTTGTCACTCTTTCTTTCGCTGTCTTTTTCTTTTCCTCTTCTGGTTCGTCCTCTCATCATTCTTTCTTTCGCGGTCTTTCTCTTCTCCTCTCTTTCTTTTCTTCTTCTTCCTCTTTCTTTTTTTCTTCTTCCTCTTTCTTCTCTTCAGAGGGGGGCTATACGCACTTCCAATCACTAGGCTCATCACCAGATATGGCATGAAGCTGCCCTCGCTGTAATGCAAAAAGTACTGGTTGCGCAACCAAGCCTCGGTCTCACCACCAATCTTGCCCTCCATGCCCTCTTTCCATTTCTGCGGTACGAGGCGGCGGCCCTCTGGGAAATGCTCGCAAAGATACTGCGCCAAGTGGCCGCTTTCTGCAAGGACAATTGGCTCGGTGCCCTCGCCAGGAGGCGTGATGACGACAACGGGAGATTTGCCTAGGGGATGCACTTGCTCCAACTCTGGGGGCGCGAGAGAGGTTTCCTTGTTGCGGTGGTACAGCTTGACGTCAAACTTGATCTTGAGCTCTTCAAGCAGCCATAGCAAGCTTTGAGATCGAGATTGGTTGAGCCTGTATCAATTGGATGAGCTGAGGTTACTGAAAGTCGGGGGAGAATCAGGTGTCGGAGATGCAAGCGGTCAGCTTCGGGTTTGTATGACATACCAGTGAAGGGTGACTTTGGGTTGTTCCTCGTCAGTAGCCATGGTGAATTGAATAGCGCAATAAGTGATAGTTGATTTAAAATGAGATTATGTTCTGATTGAATGAAAATGCCACGCGTGTGAATTGTGAATTGGTGCAATTGAGTGAATGAAACTAGCAACAGTCTATGACGGTGTTTTGAATGAAATCAGAAATCCCAGGGTCTGTCAACGTCATAGCGACAACGCAGTTTTTAAAGAAAAAAAAAACTAATAATAAGCAGCCTCGGCGCAAACTTCCCAAAGGCGCTACCAGAAAAACCGGGGATCATGTCATTGCTCCCGCAGATTTACAACTCGAAACGCAGACAGCCAAAGATCCAGGAACAGGCGTAAGCGGCGCTGGTGGGCTTAGTGTCGGAGCTCAGGTGTTCTTTTCGGCAATGTGGATTTTTTGTGCCTCGGGTCGGATGTTTGGTGTGTTTGGCGCCATGTCAGCATTCGACTTGGTTTGGCCTCTTCTGGATACAGATTTACAACGATGGGACATTGACATCGAGCGGTAGCATTTTTTACATGCCTTCAAATGTTCTAGGTTGCAATTGCACGATGTCATAGTTGATAGCCATTATTAACTCACTTCACAGCATTGTTAACCTCTCTCAAGGCCTTGCATCTTCCCACCCACATTACCATAGTCCCGGGTCACAAAGCCTTCTTCACAGCATCTTTAGCTTCATAGAAGAGAACCGCTGCATTCCAGACAAGCTGATGCATTCCCGACGAGCTTCACAGCAATTTTAACCCACTCAAGGCCTTCATCTCCTGCACTATGACGCACTTTTAGAAATATACTCTTTTTCAAAACTATTTTAATCTCACACAGCATGAGACGTATCCTCTCAAGTAGTTCACAAGGAGGCTACATCTACATTGCAGTATACTTTTTTGAATGACGCGTATTCGGGAGTGAAGCCGTCGGCTGAGACTAAAAATGCTGTGAAAGTGTCCTACGTTAGGACGTCCGCATGGCTCTCTGGGTGCAATGCATTTCGCTCCATGAATCTCGAAAACTGTATGCAAACCATATATGAGCATTAACATTTATCGCTACTATCGCAGTTTATACAAAATATCCATCAAAATAGATTCCTAATCTCTCAACAAAATAAAGTACGCTCCTCGTCAATCAACTTTGTGGAAAAAGCATGCGCCACCTGGCCTTTCATTTTCCTGCCATGTCATTGGCTGCTCACCTCGGTCAAGCCACATCTCCGAAAATGTTCCGCCACATCAACTCAATTCAAACCCCAGCAATTAATTCTCACATGCTCAAAACTCCGTATATAATAACGTCCACCCTGTCAGCTCCCTCGAGCCATTGAGCTCTGCGCCATGCACGCACCAAGGACCATCTGCTCAAGATGTGCCTCGCAGATCCGCTCAGTCCAGGCTCGCTCCCTCGGCGGCGCGGCGCTGTTTGCGTCCATGAGTGATGCCTCAAACGCATCGTCAAACACTTCGTCGAATGTCTCATCAACTATAACGCGGGACGGGGTTGGCGAGGCAGCTGGACGGCAGTTTCATAGCAATGGGCGAGGAGCTCCAAAAAGGGGCCAGCGAAGACCCTTCAACGGACCGTCAAGCTTCACAAAGAGGGGACCGCTGCGGCCCTCGGAAGACTCTGCCATTGCGCTCTTCAAAGATGTCGTCAGTCCAGAGGCCAAGAGGAGGGCATCCCAGTCGTCTCCTCTCGGCGAGCTGGAGATTGCGGCCAAGATTAAGGATCTGTCTGCCAAACAGATGGACGTTGTTGAGAAGCTGCACGTCTTCCAGACAACCATCGGGCCGCACCTCAACGAATTCCGCGGGCACATGCCTAAGCATTTACTCATCTCATCGACTCAATTCCTCGACAAGATGTGCGAGGAGATTGTCGAGCATGGCTACACCGGCCACGGCGTCAATCTATCTTTACTCTACGGTATCGTGGGAAAAACTGATCTCGATGTGAGAAATCAGCTCGTTCTCAACGTCTGCCGCGCCCTCATTTTCGATAAGAAAGATTCTGCTGGTCGCAGCGCCTTGTTAGACGAACTCACTGGCCTATGGCAGCACATTTCTCAACTTCGCCGCTGGAGCCAAGACCATCGTCAGTTGAAATTTGCCTTTCCCTCGTTTCATGATGTCCGACAAGACATTGCCGAGGGCACGGCGACCAATACTCGCCTGGATCCCACAACAAGGGCCCTGGCTGCTCTCTTTCTGCAATTCAGCCCTGACGAGGCCCGGGATATCATGCCGGCACTCTTGACTACTCTCGCTGTTCTCTCGGATTCGCGACTTATCAAGAGCGGAACGCACATTATCATGGACCCCTTGCTGAAGCTGGTAGCCGTGGCCCTCAGCAACAAAGAAGCCGCGACACAATCCTACGTCTCTGGAGTCTTTGATGATCGTGTGCGGTTCCCCTCGGCAAAGCTCGCTGAGATTCAATCCTATGTAGTCCAGCAGTGGCCGCACGCAGCTGAATTGATACACAAACGGTCAGGCTCCTCGTCCGGTTTCACGGGTCTCCACCGCCAGCTTCGATCAGCATACCTAGCCCGCGATTATGGCACTGTATATGCCATCTGGGAGGAATTCAAGACTCGCCTGGATCAGAAGCCGGAGCTTGCTAAGCAGCTGCACAACAATGCCGAATTCCTAGACTTTTGGGTCTTTATCTGGTGCGCGAGTCGTCGTCCCAGGCATCTGCAAGATACGTTTGACCTCATGCAGCGGCTGCGGATACACCCGACCCTCAAGACCTACACGGGCATGATGCACGGATGGAAGATTTGTAAGGATACGGATCGAATCGACGCACTCTGGAAGAAGCTGGCAAGTTCTGGCCAGAAGCTCGACGCCCACATCTGGACGGAACGCATCTCCAGTCTGATCGAGGCGGGCAAGCCCCAAGCTGGCCTCGAAGCGCTCGCAGAGATGCTTGCGCTGTGGAAGCAGGCAGTCCAAAAGAACGCCACCCACACAGCTGTGCAACCCACGATTGAGGCTGTCAATGCTGCCTTCAAGGGCATCATCCAGGTCGACCGCAAAGCCGCCTTTGAGGTGCTCGAGTGGGCAAGCCGCGAGCAGATCCAGCCCAATATCCGGACATACAACGTTTTGATCCGCCATAGCTTCCGAGACGATTCTCCCGACGAAGTGCAGACGCTGCTCAAGGTCATGTCACAGAACGGTATCGAGCCAGATGCAGCCACTTTCACCATCATCCTAGAGGAAGTAATCGGCAGAATGGGCACCGCATCAGCCGCCGATCAAGTCGAAGCCGTGCAGCTCGTCTTCCAGGACATCCAAAGCGCCGGGCTCCGCCCCAACCTCGAAACATACGGCAAGATGCTCTACGCCGTATCATCCCTCGCCAACGGCACCGACGAGGCCATCGCCGCCGTTCTTTCGCACATGCGCGCCGACGATTTCAAGGTCACTCCGCACATGGTCACCATCCTCATCGAGCGTGCCTTACGCCGCGATCCGCCCGACATAACGGCCATTGACGCTCTACTCCAGGAGCACGGCTTCTCGCACGTCGGCCAGGGCGACCAGACCCTGTGGGAGCGCGTCATGAGCGCAAACGCCATCACCGGCAACACCGAGCGAGCAATGACCGTCTTTAACGACTTGCAAAAGGCTGGAAGACCGGTTACTTCGTTGCCGTGCCTGACGGACCTGCTGTGGGCGCTTTTGTCGAGCGAGAAGCGTGACGAGGCGCGACATGTAGTGGATGTGGTGCTGGATTACAAGACGAGAGATGGGGATAGCGACGTCAAGGATGGGCGGTACTGGAGGCATCATTTCTGGTTTTTGGCTGATGAGGGGGGCTTCCTCGAGGGGAGGGATGTGCCAGACGTGCTGAAGGCGAGTCTGCGCGGGTGAAGGCTGTTAGAGATATAATATCATATATAGGGGACTCATAGACTTGCTGTATAGTACGGGGTTCATCATAGGTACTATAAAACATCCAATGACGACAACATTCACATATGAATACACTCACACGCATGACTGTCTCTTGTGTATCTCTGTTTGGGTATTCTTATTCATTCTCATTTCTTTCTCATGATAAACTATGTCGTATCCATAGCATCCCCCCCTCCACCATCCCTCCCCCCTCCCAACATCGCCGCCACCTTCTCCAACCCTTCCACCTCGCCCTTACTCAACCCCCTCCCCTCACCCTGCCACTCCCCATCACGAACCTCTCCCTCCGGCCCAAGTTCCAGCCCAACCACCGTCTCAAGATACTTCCTCGACGAAGTCTCAATATACTCCGCGCGTTCCCGTCTCCACGACGCCGCCGCCGATGCCGCCTCAGCATCCGTGACACTAGCATCCCCAAGGCCAGGCAACAACTCCCTCAACGACCCCGACAAAGCCCGCAGCGCTTGCAGCTGCGAAAGCGTAAACTCCGTCGTCGTCGTAATCGGCTGCTGCCCACCGCTCTCTTCAAGCCCGCCTCTATCGCGCAAGAAGGTGAACGGATGAGCCGCAGTACCACCACTCTCTCCATTCGCCGATTCTTTTTCTTCCGTCTTGGTGGCGTCAGGGACGACGCCTAGTAAGGAACGCAGTGTTTTAAGAAGAGCTTCATTGCGCGCCTTTTCAGCTTCCAAGACAGCATTTAGTTTCTGGCTTGCTTGAAGCCGTCTCCGAAGAGCGGTGATTGATTCTGGAGAAGGTTTATCGATTTGTTGCGCCGCAGCGGTATCATCATCGGGGAAATCAAGGCCGCTATAATGTGAGAGGCGCATGTATGGCTGGTCTTGTGGTCTGACTGTAATAATGTTCTGCATGACATAGAGCTCGAAAATGTCAAAGTTCTTGTCGATGGAGGCATTGAGCAGTGTTTCGAGCTGGTGTGTGCCGTTTTCGATTTCGAGTTTTGCGGCTTCTTCGGGAGAAAGATTTGGGTTTTGGTCGGACTGTTTGCTACTTTTTGAGAAGCCGAGCTTCTTAGGGGGTATAGAGAGGAGGAGGCGTTCAACGGAATCGAGAGCACGATCGGCGAGGACGTTGACGGTATTGATGATGTCGTCAAGGAGGGACTAGGGGAAATATGTTAGCTCACTGTTGTGTTTCATTGAGGTGGAAGGATTGAGAGACGTACGACAGGAGGGTAGCTGAAATGCTCTGTTAGGAGCTCGTAGTCGGAGTTGCTGGCAGCCATGGCGGGCTGAGCTGGACGAGGCTGATGAAGTCGATGGTGATGCTTTGGGCGAGGCTGCGACGCGACAACAGCGCGTTGGTATATGGAGTTGAGCTTTCTCCAAGCCGCAGTGGATGTTGTTTTAATGTATCGTTCAACGGTGTAATTGTTCCAATGAGCCTAGTGTTACTCCAAGATTGCGCAATCCGGTGCAATAACCATTCATCAATTCATTCCCATTCTTTGTCTTCGTCGCAATTCTTAAATTCGTTGTAAAACCCATCCACAAACAAAGCATTCAATCAAGGTCCCAAAGTGGGGCTCCAGTGACAGCTCCTTCGGTACGTACCGACCCCCACTCTCTCAGCTCTTATCAATCATGTCAAAGGCGGTCTCGCCGATCATATCCCATTCAATCCACACAAGAATCCGACTCCCCGAAACACTCTCATATATACTCTACTGTACATAGATTTTTCTTTACTTTACTTTGTTGCTTCACATACGGATCTCGCGGATAAGCTGCTCTCTTCGCCCATCATGTCGAAATACGCCGAGATGGCCAAGGGCAAATTGTCCTCGGGCCGCGAAAAGGCCTCTGAGTACAAAGGCAAGGCCAAGGGCAAGGTGGTACGTCGTCGCATCGCATCGCATCTCCAGCGTCTCACAAATGCTATATATTTGATATGATACACCAGACACAAGCTAACATATACATCTCCTTCTGCTACTATAGACAAAGCATATCCCCGGCCGAGGCCACAAAGAGGAAAATGAAGCTGCCACCCACGTCGCCCGCCCCTTGGCCTCCCTCCGCGATCCAAACTCCTTTGCTCCTCCGCCCAGGCGCACCGGATCCGGCCTTGCGCCTCCACCACCTCCCTCCCAAGTCAAACGATCCGTCGTCGCGGCGCCGTCAAAGTATCAAGATCCGCACGGGCCGAGGGTCGAGCCGCCGCCTAGATTTGCCGACGAGCACCAATTGGAAGCGTACGAGGCAGAGCAGGAAGCCCAACCGGTCTCATCCGGACCCTACAGAGTCAACACGACAGGACTCTCGACAGATCATCTCCCTCCTCCCCCCGTGAGGAGAGACGCCGCGGGCAGCCGCAATCCGCCTTCGTATGATTCCGTCGTCGGCGCAACCCCCAGCGATGCCAAAGCCCCGAGTCTTCCCCCGAGATTGCCTCCGCGATCAGGTTCCGGAACGCCGGATCGAACGGCCAGTCCGCTAGCAACGCTCGGTGTCAGCTCCGGCAGCCTGAACCAGGGAGCCGTCAACAGATTGGGTGCTGCCGGCATCTCTGTGCCCGCCTTCGGTATTGGAGCTCCCAGCCACGCCGATGACGAAGCACCTCCCCCAAAGCCTCCCCGACCAAATGCCACTCCGCCATCACACCTCAATGAGCTGCAAAATCGCTTTGCCAGGCTGGGAACTTCAAACACGGGCTCTTCTACGGGACCTCCAACTCCTCCGACTGAGGCTGCCGCCGTTGCTGCTGTTGCTGCTGCTGCTGCGCCTGCTGCCACTACGTGGGCACAGAAACAAGCTGCTATCAGGCCGGCAGCGCCATCCCCATCACCAACAGGATCGCCAGGCCTCGCAGGAAAGAAGAAGCCGCCGCCTCCCCCTCCCAAGAAGAAGCCTGGTTTGGCTGCCGCAGCTCCTTCTCCAGGCGACGGGGGCGCACCACCTCCTATCCCCTTGTCAACTCGTCCATCGTACTAATCGGTCTCTCTCTTGTGTGTCTAAGGGAGAAGATGTCTGCTGTGCATTTCACTAATTGAAGCAATGGCGTCTTGTTGCATTTTTGCATTTCACATTTCGCATATCGCATGTCCTCTTGCTTGTCTCGCTTGGCGTTGGGAAATTATGGATTGAATAGCCGTTGTCCAGATGCGCAAGGGAATTTTCGGGATCTCAGTTTCATAGAATAAAAGCACCAGAAAAAGAAAACATATTTTGGATCAGCAACTTTTTTTTGTCTTGTTTAAATCGTCTGCCGCTAGTTTCTCCAGCTATGTGGCTTTTAGGGATATATGCCATGCGCCGAGTAAAACGCAAAAATGGGACTCGTAACTTGTGTTCCTCCACTCCATCTCTCTCCAATGTATCTTCTCCTAGTTTTATGAAAAAAAGATCTTGGCCCTCACATTCTGGAGAGCCCAAGGCTCCGGACAATGGACACAAAAAGCACTTAGACCTTCATCTCAGTGAGACCGTGCTTCCAGACGATGACATAGGGGGTGACACCATCCTCACGGTAGTTGAGGAGGACGATCCTGTAGTGATTTGAGTCAGTTTCAGTTTTCTTAGAGTAATACATAGAATTACACAAGCTCGACTTACATTCCGTCGGGGTTCATGGACTCGCCAGTGTAGAACTCAAAGTCCTTGAAGTTGGGCAGCAGCTTCTCCTTGACGTAGGTCTGGGCACCCTTCTCGAAGGCGGTGATCTCCTCGGCGGGAGCACCCTTGGCCTGGAGGCCAGCCTTGACAGCCTTCATGTAGCCTGTTGACGGAATCATGTTAGCAGGGTTGTACCGCTGAGAATCAGGATAGATACACGCATAGTGAGCATGCCACTAAGATGAGAACTAACCCTTGAGGTAGGCCAGGTAGCCCTTCTTGTCGAAGCTGGTGGACTGGAGACGGAAAGAGTGGACGATGTTGTTGACCTTGACCTCGGCATCCTCAACACCCTCGTCGGCCTCCTCAGCGGAAGCGTTGGCACCAGTGTCTATAAGAGAATGTACGTTAGATATGAGCCCATATGGTACCAATGATTGGCTTCGCTATTGCGCATTTCAACCATCTTTTGTGTCTAAGCGCTGATGCGGCACACAGGAGACAAAAGATGGAAGAAAGCTGAGCTGCAAGCTAGACGGGGTTCTGTACGCACCGACGGTGACGGCACCCTCGGTAATCATGGCGCAGTCGGCCTCGTAGACGATGCCATCGACCTCCTTGAGGTCATACGAGTCCGAGATGATCTCGTCGTCGGTGATGAGGTCCTATACAAAAATTTGCGGGGTCAGTTTTGGCTGTTTTTTTCTTCTTCTCCCAATGGCGAGACAAAAGCTGGAGACGAGCAACAAATGCAAAGCAGGAGAACCAACCTTGTAGATAAGCATGGCTGCGGTTGTGAATAGGCGGAGATAAATGAAGGGATGATTTTTTGGTATAAGCAAAAGGGAAAAAAAGAGAAGAAGCAAAAGAAAAAGGCGAGATGGAGGGGTTAGCGAGGAAAGAGGCAGGTTGGCGATAGGTAAAAATCAAAGTGGGAAGACACGGATGTGATTGGCTAGAGCGTCTTTTTTCAGTGGGGAGGGGCTTTTGAGTGTCCAAGCAGAGGGGCTGATGCTCACACGAACTTTGCCCGCCCCGCATTGGAAAAAAAAAATTGAAACTTGTAGAGCTGTTAGCGCGGGAGGTGGCACTACTGGAGTTCGATTAGATCTGGCTTGATGTTCTGTTGTAGAAGTATGTACTTTTGACGAGCTGGTTTGTTGATGGTGCAAGTTGATACTAATGAACATTTACAAAGACACCAGACAGGTATGACTTTAAGATACTTGGTGGGTTGGTGAGGCGAACACGACAAAGTCTAGAATGGTGGTGATATCTACAAGGCCACAGACGGATAAGCAAATGATCCCGACATAAAGTCACAAATGCTCAATTTCTCCACCTAGGCTTTTCTCCGTTTGTCGAAGCCATAGCTGCAACTCAATGCAACGTGGTAAACCATTCTACTCAGCAAAATGAAGCCGAGACATGATGTTGCCAATAGCCTCAAACCGAACTAACTATTCATACATGTATCCCTGTACAGGCTGTGTCTTACAAGCTCCCCTCCGATCCCTCTCTAATCCAGCTCCATTTCTTGATGAAATCTCTTCTTCCTCTTCGACTTCATCTTCTCCTTCTTCGACTTCACCTCTCCGTTTTGAGTTTCCTTTTTCTGCCCCTTCTTCTCTCCTTTTCGCTTTTTCTTCTTTCTCTCCAACTCAGAATCCTCAGCAGTATCATCGTCCGTCTCTATAACAACCACGTCTCTATCAGCCATGGTAGTATCACCGTCTGTTGCAGCCGATTCAGTCACAGCCTGTCCATACATTTGCTTAGATGCCGCCATCTCACCATGCAACTTCGCAATACCCACTTGTAGACTGTCAACGCGGTGCAGCATTTCGTCCTTGTGAGATTTCTCTTGCTGATCAAAGATGTCTCTCAGCGTGTTCATATTAGCCTGGAGTAAGCCACGAATTTCCAATTGTGGTACTCTTGTAATAGTGGCATCTAGATCGTGAAAGACTGAATGTGCTGACTGGGGAATTGTCCAAGCAGAGGGGGCAGGCTCAACGAATCTTTCCGTCCATTGAAACACGTCAACATCGTCTCGTGCTTGTTCAAGCCAGGATAGCAGCATTGCATTTTGTGATCTTGTAGCCCACAATCTTACAGTCTGCTTTGCTAAGCTCGGCAACACCCTCACAGTCTTGTCGGTCAAGACTTCCATGATATCTTTCTGAATGATGCCATTCCAATTCTCGCTCTTGAGTCGATCGAGGAGAGGTTGAAGCTTCGTCATAACGTCTCCGCGAAAGACTTCCATGAGAGTCTCGCGCACCATGGTAGGCCTGGGCGTGAGAACAGACGTTGGCGCAAGATTTGGCATAGGAGCGGGCATCGTAATTTGTGCTGGCACTGGCACTTGCGCTGGCGCTGGGGCAGGTATCGACATTGGCACAGGCATCTGTGTGATTGTTTGGGTTTCCGCTGGCATTGGCATTGGCATTGCAGCTTCGCGCCTCTCTTCTCTAAACTCTGAAGCTTGATGCGCGGCAGACGACTCTTGTTTGATGGGAGTTTGCTCATCTTTCACCTCAATAACCTCATCAGAAGTCTGATCTCTAGGAGTTCGCATTCTTTGAAGCACAACTCCGTCGAGCGGGTGTATCTTGGTGTTTGGCACGCATTGTAGGGCAAACGGGGTGAGGTCCCACGGTTGGTCCAAAGTCAGATACTCTCGACGACAATGCACCTGGTAGAAATAGATAGCTGTCGCGGCCTTGTTGTAACTGTCAAAGTCTCTAAAAAATCGAGGTACCTTGTTGTTTTCGGCCGGGATACCATGAAGGATGACTTGTTGCATCGCAACAGCCACCACTAGATATGGGGCGGCTGGGCAATGGAGCAATTCGGTGTGTCGGGTTAGGCGCTCGGTTTTTTCCATCATCTCGAGGAATTTTGCAAACCCTCTCCAGCTAGTCCAGCTTTCGGCCTCGAAAACTTTCGTGGAATTGCACATGTCTATACAAGCGTTGAGGCATTCTTGATGTCGCTCGTCATCGGATCCAAGAAAGCGAAAGATCCCTGATATTAATGCCTTGTAGAACTTGTTGATCGACTGATCAGTGACGAATCTATCTACGCAGATATTGTTATAGTGACCACGTAGGCCATTCAAGTGATTATTGGGTGGCCTCCGGAGGTTCGTGACGACAGGCAATGGCTCCATGGAAGGTGCTTGAGGCATCTTGGGGTAGCAGAGCGTTTATCCTCCCGCTCAAAGAGATTGAGTTGAAGACAAGGCGAAATCGGTGGGTGCAAACAGATTGAAGAGGAAGGAGAAATTTTTCAAACAAGAAGAAATTTAATAACAGATGGTGGGAGAGCTGCCAGCTGCTGGGCACTTTGGGTAAGGGCTTGACAGCTGGTTGAGATATTCTGCCAGCAGCAAGCCCTAAGCGGATATCGCACTCCATTTTTCAAATATCAATTGGACTCTATCGTACTCTATACTATGAGCAAAATTTATTCAATTAATATTGCGAAGTTGTTGCAACTTGAGGAAACTGCGTAAAGAGGATCGGTGTAAGGTTGGGTATGTATAAGTGAATTGACCATTGCCAAACGCATGTGAATGCACGACGTCTCGGTGGATTCCTTGCAATAAAAAAGTGTCCAAATCCACGTTCCTCTTGACCATCTATAAATGAAATCAGTCGTAGAAACAGCTCACTGCTGCAATACATGGTTCCAGGTTGTCCCTTTTCAAAGTGTTTGGCTGCTGATATAACCGTCATCAGCACATGTCAACGCTCAGTTGTGTAAGTGAGGAATGCCGGCGTTGATCGGTACAGGATACTCTGATATACACCAAGAAATGATACCCAGCGCAGGTACCAGATACTTGGCAACATCATGCTGGGACCTGCAGAAACCGCCGATAAAGACCAGCTGCTGCTACGCTGCATCTACCTCTGGGCACAAAATCCGATTCGCCAGCTGTTTTGCCTCCAAAAACACCAATCTACGAATCCCATCACATCCTCACCATCATCCCCTTGACTCGTGTTAAGTGGTCTGATCGTGGATCACAACACGCGACACGGCAAGTCACTTTCCATGGCTCCAGGGGAAAGTCTGCTTTGGGCTAGAGAATAATCCGGCGGCCGGCGCTCTTGTCCGAGTCTCCGACCGCGATAAAACTTTGTATGTGATCTGCACCCACTCGCTAACATTTTAACTTCTTGGCTGCCGTCCATTTTTTTCTGCCCACCGCCCTGGAGCTTGGCTTACTTCAGTCTACAGCGTTTCAAGGCTTGTAATCCTTCGCTGTTAAAATCGTCATCTTACGCTCCTTTTCCTCGATCCGGCCGCGCCTTTATAATAAAGAGGAACCGCGTCCTTCTTATTCTTCCCACTTGTGTCAATCTCGTTTCTTTTTCTTCTCTTATCTTCTTGTCGTTCTCGTTTATCTTGTTGCGATAAGCCCGCCATCCCACTTTAAACATCTCGCCCCCCTGTACGAGTATACAGACCAACCCATTACTCGCACGCGCCATCCGACGCAACGCCGAGATTAATTCGCTTTTTTGCTCCGACCTCTCCGTGCTTTGACTTTTGACTTTGAATAAATCCTCTCGATTCACTCAACCTTTTGTTTTTGCATGGTCGACACCATCAATCGCATCATGGACAACCTCTCATCCGAGGCCCCCATCATGGCGAACCACAGTCTCTACGATTCCTCGCTTCCGCCGCTGCCGGCCTACACCCTCGAACCAAAGCCCGACCTGTTTCCCTTCATCTCCGACCTCTGGCTGTCGCTGGTGCTGCCCGTCATCGTCTACTGGGTCATGTCGCTCTTCTTCCACTGCATCGACATGCTGGATCTCTTCCCTCAGTACCGCCTGCATACCCCGGAAGAAATCACCAAGCGAAACCACGCGACTCGCTACGAGGTCGCCCGCGATGTCATCATCCAGCAAATCATCCAGATCACGACCGGATATGCGCTCGCAGTCACTGAGCCGCAGGAGATGATTGGCAAGCAAGACTACGACATTGCTGTCTGGGCCACTCGCATCCGCCTTGCCCAGCGCGCCCTGCCCGGTCTGCTCGGCCTGGTCGGTCTCAACGCGACCGCCATCTCCAAGAGCATGTCGTCTTCCTATCCCTTGCTTGCTGGTGTCTTGGCGGGCGGTTACTATCCCGTATCTACGACCGGCTCGGCCGATGCTACCCCGACATTCACTGCTTGGGAGATGACTCTTGCAAAGGCCATCTACCATGTCCTCGTTCCCGCCTTGCAATACTTTGTTGCCATCTTCATCCTTGATTCTTGGCAATACTTCCTTCACCGGTTGATGCACGTCAACCGCTGGCTGTACAGTAAGTCTGACTCCATTGTCTCGTTCACGAATATGTCATTGACCATTCTCTTCCTCGCAGCAACTTTCCACTCACGCCACCACCGTCTCTACGTCCCCTATGCCTACGGTGCTCTGTACAACCACCCTATTGAGGGATTCCTCCTCGACACCCTCGGTGCTGGCATCGGATTCAAGGTGACCGGCATGTCTCTGCTCCAGGGAACATGCTTCTTCTCCTTCTCAACCATCAAGACCATTGATGACCACTGCGGATACTCCTTCCCCTGGGACCCCCTTCAGCTCATCACGAGCAACAATGCCGCCTACCACGACATTCACCACCAGACTTGGGGAATCAAGGCCAACTTCTCACAGCCCTTCTTCACTTTCTGGGACCAGCTTCTGGGAACCAAGTACAGTGGAAAGCGCGACAACACGCCTGTCGGCAGGAAGCAGGCTGAGAAGGCCCAGTAAACCTGGCATGACACCACTTTGGTTATTCTTCATTGATATGTGCGCAGAATGCTCTATAGAGATGCACACTCCACCCTTTTTTTAATACTTTGTTCATCTCATATTGATGGCGAAACATATGACGAAACGCGTTTTGGATGACGGCAACAACAGTGGCCATGCCAAATTAATACTCTAATGTCTTAATTCTTTTTATTATTCGGCTCCATGGTCTGCCGAAGGCAAGAGATGGAAAAAGTTTCTTTCTTCAAACTGTATATAATCGCTAATTTTGGCTTCTTTTTCATTTTACTTTTTTCTTATCATGGGACGGGAGGACGTTTTTATTTTGGGGGAGAAGGATGTGGATAATACTACAAGTCATGGGAGAGTTATCTGTATGGGGAATTGGGTTTAAGCCTCGGGCCACCTTTTATGTATTATAATTTAGTTTGATGAGGAATGGTGTAGATGCAATGGGTGGATGTTGGGATGAGGCTTTCTTAGTATGGGCTTCGTAGGAATAATATTTTTTTTTTCTTTGGAAGATATAAAGCCATGTAGGAAAGTGATTCAATCTAGCTCTTATCGAAGGTATATTGTGCTCGTCGAATGGGAATTTGACATGTGGTGCTTCTCATCTTGACTTTAACTGATACGAGCAAGTAACTGCTGTTGAAAACGGTTCTTGTCATTGCTCGTTATCACGAACCCCGCCATCTTTGCAAACATCAAAGCACGTCTCCCATGATACTTGGCTTTTAATAAGATAACAATCTATCTGGCATCTATACCACAACAATATCCGCATCACTCAACATCATTTCCAGGGTAATTACTAAAACCATACTCGCCAGTTACACATCTTTCATTCTTAAAGACTGCTTCCGTGTAATTCATCTACATCTCCAGCATATCATACTACCCTGGAGCTCAGCACCCTCCTAAATGGCCATTCACCAAGCAAGGCAAGCAGCATCACGATTCCTTTTCCTTTTCTAATAAATTACAAAGAATTACGTATTTGCTTCTCCCAAATCTCAAAGCATAGGAGTGGGGGTTTCATCACTCTTAGCCGCAAACTATAAAAGCTCTTCGATAAGGTGAAATCAGACGTGTGATCGAGGAGAAGCGCATTAATAAGGGGGTTACATTTCTGTTACTTCGCCGTATCTTCTGTGAAGAATAAAAGAGTCCAGAGAATTGGTCCGTTTCACATACGCCAATATTACGTCGATCTTGGCAAGGCCATAACTAATAGCAGCAAAACTTCACTGATATACAGGTACCCCCTTCCGAGGCAACTTCACAAAAGCTCGTGAAAAACAAGAAATAAGTGATCTAAGCATATCGTGAAACCTATCTCCCCGCGATAGCCGCAAGCCATCATGCACAACCAAGTGGCTTCCAAGTTTCGAAGAAACGACCGGAGCTTCGACGGTGGCTGCGAACGATTAGTAGCATCACATCGTTGAGCTCCTAAGCCACCCTCCCCCCTTCTATCTCGCTAGGGAATGCTTGCCAATATTACGCTCAGAGGAGAGAATAATCCTTGAGCTTGTTT